CCGTGACTGCGGTTTTCCAGTGGTACATCCCAACTAAGTGTGACTAAACCGTGACTGCGGTTTTCCAGTGGTACATCCCAACTAAGTGTGACTAAACGTGAATGCGGTTTTCCAGTGGTACATCCCAACTAAGTGTGACTAAACCGTGACTGTGGTTTTCCTGTGGTAAAATGACATATCTTGGGAACTAGCCCATGGGTTTATAGATTGTCTGATATAAAAGTCAACCTCATGAAGCCTGATGTTGACCGTTTCCATGCCTAACTGTCACTCACTCTGAAACGCTGATTCAGCTCGAAAGCCGAGGACAGCTAAGACTGGCAGACACTTATTGTCCGACAGTGGTCATGTTGCAAGGTTCTCAATAACGGTCTACCTCGTTCAGGTCTTCAGCAAACTGTATTTGTGGTTTACAAGCAAGTCCACGACTTTTATGTACCATTGAAATTCACGTGCCAGATCACAAAACACTCGTATGACTCGGGGATGCCACTGGCATCATTTCACAGTAGCAGTTGGGCTTAGCAGACGCTGCCGCCTTCCCTGAAAAGTTCAGTGTTTTAAACTGTAATATCGTGCGTACCACAGTACCTCGATCACACTGCTGAACTTCGCCAAATGTTGCCAATAATCTTTCGATGTCGTCCCACTGAACATGGCTGGGAATGTTACTAACTTGGACCTTATTCGTACGATTCCTGTAAGAAAAAAAAGTCATCATAATTAAATTCATCTGCCTTCAAAACAAGGCTTTGAAGGTCTAAATATACTCTTAAATCAAATAATAGGAAAACGCCATTTCTTCAACCATTTCTTCTTTAGCTTAAAAACGCGTATATTACAAAGTAATAGGCAATTGGGTCAGAAATCCTTTTAAGTCAATATAATTCGCAAAGGAAAATTCCTAAATTCGAATATCGAAAACCTAAAGTCTTTAAAGCTTATCTAAAATAAGAGAAACACATTTCTGAAATTATATTACGCGTATATTTCTTAGATTGAGACGCTACCCATTCAAAACCTCGGGCCTTACTTACAACAGTCACATCGCTTTAAAGAAAGGGTTTAACTATTTGTAATTCAGGCGCTTGTCTGGTCATTGCGATTTTAAAATGTTAAACTTAGATCTGAAACCTCAAACTCTTTCATTATAACAAACTACTCCGCTACATCTAGTGTGGGCCTAGTGAAATCTCGAGTTTCTTCGTGAAGCCTAATATCAACAATGTACACGTATACGAAGCGCACAAAGTAGTTTACATGGAACCAACTATATGGGAATTCACAATACACGTGTCATGATTATTACGCTTGCGCAAACTCCCCAAGTAACGCGTTATCCTGTCAGCTTTTAATACACGTGTAAAGCGATCCGTGCACGGGAAGAGGCAATGACTTAGCGAGAACCAAGGGCACCTGGTCAACTATCGCAGCAAAATTTCCAACCTAGAAGTAACAGCATTAAAGAAGATATTCTCCGCGTTTTCCAACCAAAAAAAGTTTCAGATTTTGATACAACAGCGCCTACAGTCAAAGTACAACTTCGCAAATGTGTTTTTCATATTTGTTTTTTTAATGCAGCAACTAACAGACTAGAACAATGGCAACTTCAACAAGAACAAAAAATACTAAAATTTCAAAATTATTCGCTTGTATTGAAATCCTTGTTTTCGCCGATGATTTTACAACCCAATTAGAAAGATTCAGTTATATTATTTCAATCTCAATGCTAAGTAAAACAAGCATGCCATTCAATATTTGATTTGCCCGATTAACTTCAAGTACAATTACTGTATTCCATAGTTGCGACTAAACGTACAACATGGTTAATTTTCACACATTAGCCCACAACGGTCTCGTCAGTTTTTTTGTTTAATAGTTATGAAATTAGGTTTTTTTTAACGTCAACGTAAAACGTTGAAGTGTGTCTATCAACAATAATGCTTATAATACTTATATTTGATTCGTTACGTGCGATTGAGATGCACCGATAAGATTCAGACTGCGTAGTTTATGCGCAAAAAACAATTTTTATAAATCATACACACATTATGATAACTGAGGAGACTGGCCACGTCAGTACAAATAGACGATTAATAGACGTAAGCCTAAATTCGACTCACAGTGCGGGTCGTCGTAACTGATTCTATCAGGGTTACTAGGCTTCAAGTATACACAGTCTAAACTGAAGTTTGTCTTTTTTGTTTAGTATGGAGAGTTCAAATAAATACTTATTAATGTTGAAGCTTGCAAGGGAAAGAAGTGAGAAAAATTTGTATTTTCCTACTATTACAGGTAAACACTGTATATATATATATATATATATATATATATA